GCACCCCCCTAGGGGGCCTATATAAAAGGGGGGAGGGAGGGCAGCCGCACCCATGCTCTTGGCGCCTCCCTCTCCCCTTGCTACACCTCTCCCTCTTGCAGACGCTTGGCGAAGCCCTGCCGAGATCGCTGCTGCATCCACCACCACGCTGTCGTGCTGCTGGATCTTCATCAACCTCTCCTTCCCCCTTGCTGGATCAAGAAGGAGGAGACATCTCCCTGACCGTACGTGTGTTCAACGCGGAGGTGCCGTCCGTTCGGCGCTAGGATCTCCGGTGATTTGGATCACGACGAGTACGACTCCCTCAACCCCGTTCTCTTGAACGCTTCCGCTCGCGGTCTACAAGGGTATGTAGATGCACTCCTCTCTCTTGTTGCTAGATGAACTCATAGATTGATCTTGGTGAAACCGTAGGAAATTTTTTATTTTCTGCAACGTTCTCCAACACCGGACCCCTCTCCCCTTCCCCTATATATAGTGGGGGTTTGGGGGCTGCCCAATACATGAGTTTTCATCTCTCCTGGCGCAGCCCTACCCCTCTCCCTCCTCGTCTCTCGCAGTGCTTGGCGAAGCCCTGCTGGAGTGCCACGCTCCTCTATCACCACCACGCCGTTGTGCTGCTGCTGGATGGAGTCTTCCTCAACCTCTCCCTCTCTCTTTGCTGGATCAAGGCACGGGATACGTCACCGGGCTGCATGTGTGTTGAACGCGGAGGCACTGTTCTTCGGTGCTTAGATCGGATTCGGCCACGATCTGAATCGCTTCGTGAATGACTCCACCGACCGTGTTCTTGTAACGCTTCCGCATCGCGATCTTCAAGGGTATGAAGATGCACTCCCCTCTCTCTCGTTGCTAGTATCTCCATAGATTGATCTTGGTGATGCGTAGAAAAATTTGAATTTCTGCTACGTTCCCCAACAGCAACAACATACATGTCATCAAAATATCGAACGAATACTAAATTCACATGATTACTTATAACTGGAATTCACAAATAATGTTCATGTTCAAGATCATAAGAGTATAGAATATGATTAAGGATCTGAACATATAGCTTCCACCAAATAAACCAACTAGCATCAACTACAAGATGTAATCAACACTAATAGCAACCAATAGGTCCAATCTGATGTTTTGATACAAATATTGAATACAAGAGATGAACTAGGGTTTGAGAGGAGATGGTGTTGGTGAAGATGTTGATGAAGATTGATCCTCCCATGAGGAGAAGATTGTTGGTGATGTCGATGGATTCGATTTCCCCCTCACTGAGGGAATTATCCCCGACAGAATCGCTCTGTCGGAGGGCAAAAGTGCTCCTACCCAAGTTCCGCCTCGAGATGGCGGCGCTTCATCCTGAAAGTCCTCCTTTTTTTGTCTAGATCAAAACCTTTCATATAGCAGAAGATGGGCACTGGAGGCCAGCTATGGGCCCCACAAAAATCAGGGCACGCCCAGGCGATGGTCGCGCCCTATTGCCTTGTGGGTAACTGGTGCCCCCCCCCCTCTAGTATTTCTTTGCTCCAGTATTTTTTATATAGTCAATGAAAAATCTCCGTGAAGATTCAGGTCATTTGGAGCTCTGTAGAATAGGTATCTTTGTTGTAGCTTTTTAGGTCCAGAATTCAAGCTGCCGGTAATTAAGAGAGGAAAGGCATTAGAATTGCATCATAAAGTGTAATAATGATAAAAAAAATACAAATAACACTAGAAAAACATGATGCAAAATGGACGTATCAACTCCCCCAAGCTTAGACCTCGCTTGTCCTCAAGAGCAAGCCGAACTCGATAATTATGACCACATTTTTAGAGAGAGAGGTGTCGATAAAACAAAAATACGGACATGGTAGCATCATGATTAATAACACAGCAGCAAATATTTATCATAAAACTTCTCATGATCAAGCAACAATTCATTCACAATATAAAGTACGAATGACAAACTTCACTGAAAAGTAACAAACTGTGATCTCGGTCATTGAAACAATTGCAATTTATCATATTGTCGGAAAGAGTCTATATAAGAGCTTTGATTAGAAAGTTCACATACTCAACTATCATTTAGTCTTCTACAATTGCTAACACTCACTGCATTTTTATGGAGCAAAAGTTTCAGTCAAACACATAGGAAGATGGGGGTTTACAGTTTCACCTCCCCACTTATTTACCTCAGGGGTAATGTCAACAATAATAACTCATGATTACCTACATCCAACATCATACCTTCCTATTAGTTCAGTTTTTATAATTGGGGTCCATCGAATTCAACTTATCTCTTACTTTTAGAACAACCTCATCATAACTAGGAATTGTGTCAAATACCACCACTTCCTTATTGTCACTTGCATTTTTGGTGACAAATGGTGTTTTGTCCAAATAATGAACATTTACAAGTCTATCATCCATCTAAAAAGGACAAAAAAAATGTATGAATGACAACTATAGTGCATTGTTTCAAAAACAAGTGCAACTCTAATGAATCAATGACAACTATATATGGATCATGCCATTACTAATGAGTTGTTTCAAAGACGCATTAAAACTTATGTACTAAATAAATCATGTCATTTGCTTAACACAAAACCTAACCCTAACCATAGATCATCATATAAATCAAAATCGTCATTTGTACTCACAACATGCATATCCCATTACTACTACCACATCATCAAAGTGATTGAAAGCTATCCAATACCCAAGGATTTGGAGAAAGCTAGAAACTAAGGTTCCACCTAGGGTTACAAAATGCCACTAAAATAACAAGAAATTACCAACAAAATTTAGGGATCCGGGGGAGAAAACCTCAAACACCAAGGGAGAGAATGATCCACCGAAGAAAACAAATTTGAAGGGGATTTAAGTGAGCCTTGAGGTGGGACAGAGAGAGGGGGGAGCACTCTGTTGTTCTTGCTCGAGGTGGAAGATTGGGATTGGGGAGAGTTTGTGGGGTGAACCCGACACACTCTCCCTGTGACTACTTATTTCTTAGGCCTCTAGGGTCGGGAGCGAAATTTGCCACGTCATATGGTCAACTTGGCTGACCAAGGAGGTGGGCGAGGGCCAAACACCAAGGACTCTGGCGTCTTCAATGCATCCTAGACGCCAGGGTTACTAGCGTCTCAAAAAGGGTAAGATCCAAACTTTTTTACAAACAAGGAACTATCACAAAGGGGTCAACACAATAAAAACAAAGTCCCTCAGATGCAGGAGGTTTACCATCGGAACAAGGATTTTCTACCTTTGTCCGGCACTTCTCGTGCATTTGCATGCATGCAGCATGCTGCACCATTGCCGGCACGGGCTGAGCCGGGTTCAGGCTGTCACATGGAGCAGTAAACCGCGCGCTGCATCGGAAGGTTCGCTGCCCGCTGCTGGACAATCCTGTGCAGCCCAGCTTCCGCTTCCGTGCCAGACGCCATACAGGAAACCTGCCCATTCGATTGCAGCGCTGCAGCCTACGCTACAGGAGCAGTGCGCACTGCTCGGACCAATTAAACGCGCCAGCCCATGCTCGGTTCCGCCCCGGCAAAAAAAGAGTCAAACACCATGGCAGAACCGCAGAAGAAAGCCAGTACTGATGCTGCCCTGCATTTCATATCTAGCAGCAATGCAGACATGAGACATCCAAGCAGATCGACTGCATTTCGTTATCATCCATCTGCCCAGCAAATACACAATGCTCCGCTGACCTACCACGATCAATTATGTGAGCGGCGACAGGTAAGTTGGCTGTAAAAAACCGGTGTAAATCGAAATTTTGAGCCGTCCAATTTGTTTTTGAGCTGCCCAGAAAATCGACATACACCAATTCGTTCTTGCAGGCAACTTACCAGTAGCAAATGCGTCAATTTACAGAGGGGGAAACAGAGCAGCGGCGCAAGAGGCCTAAGAAACTCTTCATCTTGGCAGACAGAAAAGACACACGCCCAGTTTACCTACACCCAACAGTTTGCATCAAAACTTCCACGATGAATCGATGATCATCAATCACCAGTACGAACACGCGGCGGAGAGGAGACGACCCAAAAACCCCACCACATATTTTCTTCTCAGCGGACTCTGGAGCTCAGGGGAGTGCAGCACAGCACAGCACAGCACAGCACAGAGATGTTATATATGTTCAAAGAATGAACAGACAGGAGATACAACATCATACATACATCTGCCTACTACCAACAGCAAACCAAAAAATCCTAATCTACCTAGTATATCTCCAGCCACCTCCTTCATCTTCCCCTGGGGCGGCAGCAGCAGCAGCAGAAATGCATGCCCACCGCGGCGCGCATCGTCGTTTACCTCGGCCTGCAACGAAGTTCACTAGCTCAAGGCACCTTCATCTTCTCATCCAAAGTGTTGCAGAGATATCCATGTCAGGTTTGTAAGAGTCAGAGTCAGCTTTGGCTTCGCTTCAACCAACTGAGGCGTCGGATACGGTTTCGATCGATCAGATCATGAGGCCAAATCAGCTGTTCCCACCACTAATCTGGAGACTGCTTGGTATAGCTGCTGCTCGTCGAACGGTTTGGACACGTAGCCATCCATCCCTGATTTCATGCACTCTTCGTAGGTCGCCTGAATGACGTCGGCCGTCATTGCAAGAACAGGCAAATGCCACTCAACAAATGTTGAACCTTCCCCTGAACTCGACTGCTCTCTCTTTTCCTCGTTCGCTTTCTTCTCCATTTCCCGTATTTGTCTAGTCGCCTCGAACCTGAAGAATATATCACATTGGTAATCAGCGGTCAACAAGGATGAGATACTATCAAGCAACAAAACTTGACACATAAAGCCTAGAGAACATATAATTATAACTACTTTCCTAAGTGAAACCCAAACAAATAACAGTTTGGCTCTTTATAAGAAGAGATAAAGTTAGAAATAACAGTTGCAGCAGAGTAATGAGTACACAAAATCATACCCATCCATCTCAGGCATTTGAACGTCCATAAAACATGCATGGAAGCAATGCGGAGGTTGAAGTAGGGAGATAGCATCCTTGCCACTTTCAACACAATGAACCTTGGCACCATACTTCTTCAGTGCGGCCTGAGCAACCCGCAGATTTACTTTATTGTCATCTACAACCAATATATTCTTCCCAACCAACAGGCTCCGAAGAAATGAGGGCCTATTTTGATTTTCTTTCCTTGCAGGTATATCTACTTTTAGCAACTGCTGAAGACAAGAAGCAATTGTGCTTGCTCTTAAGGGTTTACACATCACAGTATTGAACGTGGATCCATACTTGTCCTTGTCAGCTTCAGATGTGACCAAAAGGATCAGCTTGGGTAGCTCATGCGCCTGACCATTCATCCTGAGCGTATGTAGACGATTCGATAACTGAATATCTGTCTCGGGCCTCCAGATGTCATTCTCAACAAAAAGCATCGACGGTTTTTCTCTACAAAGAAATAAAGTAATTAATGGAGAAAAGAGAATAAGCAGGTGTTGAAGAAGAATTTATGGCACATAAATAGAAGTACTTAGTATTGAGGATTAGTTCTGGTCCTTCACAGGTCTTATATTTTTAGTTAAAAAAACATCTATTGTTAGACAAGCACCTGCTCTGCCAAGTCTACAGCATGCAATGCAACTGCACCGTCCTAGTCCACCTCATGCACAGCACAACGTCCACCCACATAGCTAGAATCTAAACTGAGCCCGAAACAAATAAAAAATCTAAACTGAGCTTCTTACTAACACGTTGTAATCTCAGCCTCTTCTATCTCTCAATCTTGTATATTGAAATCCCCATTGAGGTGGAACAAATTGCACAGAAATTGCTTCATTCTTGATTTCTGTCACAGAGAAAAATTTCGAGTGCTTTATCTCTGTCTGACTGATTTTGGCTCACAGAGACATTCCAGTCATTCGATTAACTACAACTTGCCAAAAACCCTGCATGATTCACTACATCTACCTCTCTACTCCTGATTAATATTGGAAACTTTAGCATCTCAGGGCACATATGAAAGCTCCTCTTGTATAAGTGATACTACAATATATTACGTTTGGAAAATTGCACTTCCTACAAAACTAGTATTACCTCAAAGTAGTGCGAATCTTTCCACCTCCCTACCCGTAACTAATATGGGAACATTAGCCTCTCAGAGCACATGTGAAAGCTCCTCTCATACTAGTAATAAAATACCATTTCCTATACAGCTAGAAACCAGTTAAGCTGTTATTTGTCCTCTATTTCTAAAATTCCAGTGATAAGTTCTGTTAGGAATTGAAAATGACAACAGAAAACTCACCTCGACTCTGTTGTGCCATTTTTCCCAAAGGCTTGAATTCCCATACTCATATTATTCACAACTTGAACAATTATTCCCAGCCTGTTAAGGTGATATCTTGTCACAGCACTACGCACAGGTTTCCCGTCTACCAAAATCGCCTTCATTCCCCTAAAGGCAGTTGGTAGTGCCTCGGACAAGCTCCTCTCTGAATCACATGAAGTATCTTTAGATGCACGTTTCACAACCGCTGAGAATGTAAATGTACTCCCAATGGAAGGACGGCTAATGAAACTTATTTGCCCGCCCATAAGTTCAGCCAAACATTTGCTGATGCTTAAACCAATACCAGTTCCACCATAGTTCCTTGAAGTTGAACTATCTGCCTGCATAAAAGGCGTAAACACACGATCTTGTGCATGCAGTGGGATACCAACACCTGTATCCTCAATGCTTATCATCAAGGTCACGTGATCGGGATCATTTTGGCTAGATTTTTTACCCTCGAGCTCATCAGAAAGTAACTCCTTATCAGAGAGCAACAGCTTAAAATATTCCCAGCTATTTCGTTCATCCGCAGCTTGAAACCCACTCAAAGTATTGAAGGCACCATTAGCTGTAGGCTCAACTTTACAATCTTTCCCATTGAGGTTTCCATTGGGGACTCGATTAGCTTCCATAGTTGAGTTATCAGCCAAAGAGACCCGCACAAAAACATGACCCCGTTCTGTGAACTGGAAAATTGATAATGAATGGATTCAGAACAATTTATGGATGTTTTTATAACAGAATTGTATACAGCAAACAAAAGGTCAACATTATTCAAAGTTGCAAAGTATGCAATAAACAGAACGAAAGTTGACTGCTTACTTTGACTGCATTGCCCACTAAATTTGTCAGTATCTGTCGAAATCTCCAAGGATCTCCGGTGACAAGTTTTGGAACGTCGTCACTCACAAACACTGCAAGCTGCGGCAATAAGGGAAATATTAGGAAATAATGTGCTACAGGAAAGGAGGTATATAGAAGAATGGCATTTGTGGAATTGTATTGTCTGTTTGCGCTCGGCTGCAAACAATCACTACAGGTAGTCCACATCCATTATGACTATGAAAGCATAGGAAAGATATTGAATCATTTACGCTTGTAATAGTAAGATACCTCTATGCACTTCGCTCTTAACTTTGAGGCAAACAAAGAGATCACATCGTCCGTCAGCGTTCGCAAGTCAAAAGGCACTTCCTCGAGTTCCAACCTTCCAGCTTCGAACTTTGCTCGATCAAGGACATCATTTATCAGTATTATCAACGCTTTGCCACAATCCTGAGCGGTCTGAGCAAAATCCTTCTGAGTCATAGTCAGATCTGTCCCCAAAAGCATGTCCAGCATTCCTACAACAAAAGGTAATGTTTTAAGATGGCCTAGTCCTTAGAGTGAACGTTATGTATGTACGAGAAAGGAAGATATTCATACCAAGGACGCCGTTCATAGGAGTTCTAATTTCATGTGATACAGTTGCCAGAAACTGCAAAGAAGAAAACTTGCATCAGTATACAATTCTTATGTACGGAAGAAAGCCAAGTAGCCTAAGCACAGAAATAAATGTCAAACCTGAGACTTTGCAATATCAGCAGCTTCTGCTTGAGTTTTGAGCTCTTCCATTTTTCTACAATCCTCTGAAACTTTGTCATACCGAGACCATGCAGCACAAATTATATACCCAATAAGCATCCATATGACAAAGCAGCCCATAGGATTACTAATAGCAGACCACGGCATTGGAGGCTTTTGCCCATACCTGCACAACTTACCAACATTAGTGGAAGGACAAGGAGCCAACAAAGTCAGTGTCATGGGAAGAAGCTACTAACCTGCATCTCATTTCATGCTTCCTAAACGGATCTCCAAAATCAAGCATGCTAACATGCAAGAGGTCCACTTTATTATCTGGAGTTTGAGATCCATACATGGCCATAGGTTCTGAAGCATTTGTGACATCATACACATTCACCAATATATCCTGATTGCCAGCAAGTTTACTCAGCAAATTTTCCACAAGTGACTCCACATCAAAGGCTCCACCAAGATAGCTGTCAGTGGTGATTCGATTAGATTAGAGTCATGACTCAGGAGGCCACACACACAAAATAGTTAAGTATATGTTCGTGTTATATTTCTGGTACAAAACTCTAAATATGTTGGCTATCACACTAGGAAGGATCTTTGTATTGCTGAATGAGAGAAAGAAGGACAATAAGTTAATACTATATATGTACGAATAATGATACATTAATGCAAGTTCTCTAGGTCATTGTATGCTATGTCAAATCATCTGCTTTGATGCCTTGAAGTATTGTATAGCCAACACTAAAGAAATGACATGCAAATACAGGTTTTATGGGTCATCACATTTGGAAGATAGTCCAATCATCTTACCCAGCAGTTGCTTCCACACGTTGCTCAACTGATGCATCAGCAGGTAGATCAGGGCGATACACTGCAAAAGTGAGTACTACCCCCAAGTGGTTCGACCCAAGAAGCCGAAATGGGTTTGTTAACACAGGTTTGCCAGTTTCCCTCGCACGCAAGATGTTTTCTCGGTCCTCCTACATGCGAAACAAATGGATTATTTACACTGAACCAAACTTAAGACTTGCAACACAACGTGTCCCCTGCCCTCAATGAACTAAGAATCAACGGACAGAAGAAACCATCATGCAGTAAGAAATCACACCTCCCCAGACATCATGTCCATGCGCGCAAGGTAGGAGACCGTATCCTGGGAGAAAATCACCGGGGCGTACTCATCTTGGAGAGGTGCAGCCTCTCGATTCATAGTCCTCATAATCCATCCATGCTGTCTTTCAAACGTTTCCTTCTCATGAGGAAAGAGGCGCTGTGCGTAAGCCACCCCATTTAGCAGCGGACGCTCGAATGATGTCCTTGCCGTGTACTTTGCAAAAGTATCCTGCAGCAAAAGTTTCAGCAAAATGTAGGGTAAAACACACCAGCAGCGAATTGACAGATTTAAGATTGAATAACCAAGAGCATCCAAGAAAGTAAGAAAAGATCAAGTTTAAACTGCACCTAATCCATGTGATTTTTTTATTATAGCAAGAGACTCACCCAACTAGGTCAGTATCCAAAAAAAAAAAGATAGCAACTAGGGCCACCAACCAAATTAGGGCATTACTCATTGTTGCTTGTTGCAACAACCAGAATGTGCCTTCAAATACCATATTGCCTTGCCAAGGTACTCCTAAAAGTCTAAAGCTACCACTTAATCAACAAAAGCAGCGGGCTCGGAATTCCCAAAAGAGGACACCTTTAGGGAATATTTTAGGAGAAAAAAGTAGGATCAAGAACCCATCACTGGACAACCGCAGCCAGCACTGCATTGCTACGATTGTGAGCATAAACAAATGGAGTCGGTCAAGCATTGGCCAAACCCAACCATTAACCACTCCAAAAACAAACAGAGCAATGTTCTTCTTCTACCGGCCTAGTAGTTCAGAGACGTCTCTGACTCTGTGTCTTGGAGGTTTGGAGCATAGAAAAAAACACAACAGCTGCAAGAATGCCACATATTCAAAGATCAAGAGGCCCACAACGAACCGACTAAAACAATAATGTGCCGCTAAACGACTAGCCTGCAACTCTGTAAGCATCGAGCCACCACGAGGAAATATCCTTTTTTTAAAGAGATGCAACAACCATGTTTTGCTAGTACTATACTTGTTTAGGATTTCTGGAGCCCGCCATTGCCGCGGGATTGGAAGCACGCGGCGACATGGGAATGAACGAATGAACGGATACATCAATCGAGGAGGAAGAGGAAGAAACAAATCGGCAGCTCGTTTGTGTTGTTTGCTCACCTGGTCGAGGGCGGAGGGGTTCTTCTCGAAGTGGAAGGTGGAGATGAGGATGGCGAGCGCGTGGACGTGGTTGACGGTGACCCCGAACTGCTCCTGCAGCATCCTGGCCCGCTCCTCGCACATGCTGACGAGCCGCTCCTCGGCGCGCTCCATGGTCTCCCGGCGCAGCTGCCAGTGCACGGCGGCCGAGCAGGCCACCGCCGCCACCAGCCAGGCCACCGCCGCCAGGCGCCTCCAGCCCCTCCTGGCCGCGTACTTGCCCATCCCCACCCTGCCCCCCTTCTCCTCCATGGCTTCCCCCAATTTACTACTACTCCCCATCCCGCACAATGCGCACCATATGCTTGTGGGAATGCGCGACGACCGCCGGCCCCGGCCCCAGCGAAAGCAGGCGCGCACTGGTACCCAGAAGAAAAACAAGCGAGAGAGCGGGAGCGCGGCGCGGAGGGGTTGGGCGGAGGAGGCGGCGAGCGGGGGCAGGGGCGGCCTCAAAAGAGCCGAGCTTTCGCGAGTTCCCAGCCGAGACAGCGGCGCTAAAATAATTAGCTAGCCCGCCCGCTCGCTAAACCGCATTAATAAAATCCGCAGCGGCAGCGCCTCTTTACTCCAGTGCTCCTCCCCTACCTCCGGCTGGCGGGTGGGCGGGCGGGCTCGCCGTTGGCTGGCGCGGCTGCCGAAGCCAATTAAAAATTGGGAAGGAATCGCACCAGGCTCGCTCGCTAGCTCTACTAGCTTTTTCTGTGCCGGAAATATTCTGGACAAAGGCCCGCCGCGTGGCGTGGCGTCCCCCGGCAAGCCAATTGAGCGGCGCTCGCCTCGCAGCCACAGGCCCGGCCTCCTGCGATGCTGGAGCGGCTCACGAAGCGCGGGCGAGCGAGCGAGCTAGCTAGCCTCGGGCGGCGGCGTGTAGGGGCTCTTTTCGGTGGGTGGGTGGAATTGGGAGGGCGAAAGGCTGGCGGAGATCGACGGCCGCGCGGCGGCAGCAGCGGCGGAGCTGGGCAGGCGCTGCCGCTGCGGCCTACTCCTGCTGCTGATCTGCTGTAGGCTGGAGAGAGCTACGGGTGATGGGCAGTGGGGGCTCGGTGGTGGCGATCCCGCGACAGCGACCGTGGCGAGGGAGGAGGGAACCAACCAGGCAGGCCAGACGAGAGGGAGGGAGGGAGAGGAAGAAGCCGGGTGGGGTGGCTGCGGCTGCGGCTGCGGCTGCTAGCGAGCGAGGTAGAGCCAGCCAGTAGGGGGTGCCAGGCCAGCGCGCGGACGAGCGCGGGGCGCGGGGGCGGAGTGCGGGGCGGCCGAACCCACCCGTGGTCCGTCCCCGTCTGATCCACACACACACACGGACACGGCCAGAAGCAGAACTGCAGAAGCAAAGCGAAATGAACGGCCGGCCCCCTACATCGGTCTCGGATGGCTCTCCTTTTTGTTCCCTTGTTCACCTCGTCGCCCTCCTGGGCTCCGCCGGCTGAAGACAGCGTGGTTTGGTTTGGTCTGGTTTGGTTTCCTTCCTCCATCGACACGCAAGCTAAAGTTGTCTCACTACAGCGATGGGTGGCGCGATCAGGCCGGTCGCCTCGCGAGAAGACGATGGCGTCGTGTCATGATGTGTGCGGGTTTTCATACATGATTGGACGTCAAAATGTTCAAACACGGGGAATTATATCCGTCCAATGAAATGTACAGCGTGTCGCCGCCACCTTCGCAGCCATCTGCCCCCTCCCGCCTCATCGCCATCAGAGGCCAGCGTCGGGCGAAGCTCGTGCGGAGGCCAAGGATGGCGGCGGGGCTCCACCTCTGTCTTCGTCGTTGAGCGGTAGATCACCTGGCGGTGGCTTTGGGCTGCGGCAAGGGCGGTCGGCTCCCGGCGTCCACATCTTCATCCGGCACAACAATCCAGACAATAGAGCATCCCCACTACGACCTCCAGCCTCAAGTGCGACGACCATCCTCCTACATCACA